ATCCTATAGTTCAACCTAGAAAGTTATTGAACTTTCTACAAATCTACAAGAAATAATAGTTCAAAGTAAGGGATTCAATTGCACCTTGTTTGGTGGTTATAAACTTATCCAATCTCAGTCGTTTTGTAGAAACTCTAATAATCAACGGGCTTCCCATGTCAATCTTATAAAATGAAGTGAGACAAAACTATTAAACTAACTCTCATAGTCTCGTGTCTTGTACATACGTCAAAGTTTAGAGATTGAAAGGGAGGAGATCTGAGTGAAACGGATGAACCACTTGGATAGTATCATCAAATTGAATCTTAGACTCATAAACTATCCCCCTTTCAATGTCATACCATATTACCCGTCATATCTACCGCTATAACACAACTCACTGTTGGTAGTGCCTGTAAAATGGTGCGCATAGGAAGTTCAAGAGGGAGAAAGTCTGATGATGATACATTACATACATACATACATACATACTACTTCCTTCTCTCTCTCCCTATATGTGTGTGTGTGTGTTTCCACTCCCACTCTGCCTTACCCCAAGCAGGTTTTTTCTTAATCTTAAACAGGGATGGAGTGAGCCCCAAATTAGGGATGGATAGAGATGGTGTTTGCATATAATTCCCCAAATATGATAACAAAATAGTAAAATACCCATAGGTTTAATATTAATTTCTATTCATCAGTTTCCCTCGAATTCCCATAATCCTAGGATCCCATAATTTCATTTCTAAAATACCCCCAATTTGTCAAAAATCCTTGCCCCAAACCTATACCGCCATCGGGGAAGAGGTAGAATGAGGTAGGGTATCTTAGCTATGGGATAAGGACAGAGAGGGGTGCCCTATCTCAAACCCATGTTGACATTGTGTGTTTTGATGATAACAAATTCATCAAGAGTACTAATAGTATAAAAAGCAAGTGTACAGCTACAAAGGAAATCCTTAGTTGAGCTCGAAATTTTTGAAGAAGCATTTTCTAATATGAGGTATAAAGGAGTAGTTAATCTAATTGATGGAATGGAAACTTTCTAGGAAAGAACAAAACTATCAAGAATATATGATAAAAGGAAGACATCAATCTCCAAAGCCTTTGATTTGTTTTTGTTTTTTTTAGGATTATGTGTAATCAATTGCAAGATACACTGTATAAGCTTTACTCAAGTCAACCTTGATTATACCAAACTTAGAGATCAATAGTTAAACTTATAAAGGGTTTTTATGCTCTTCACATGCTCAAAATTAGGCTTAAGTGTAAAAAATCCTAGTTTGAAAAGCCCAATGAGTCTAGTCCTAGACTTTAGGAGTTGACCACTAAAGTTTTCTAGGTTGGGTGCTATCACTTATCAGTAGTTGACAACCCTTGACAATCTGATGCTATTCTCACCCAGCAGCTGACTACTTGTGACAACAGTGCCAAGGTAGGCTAAGTAGTCTACTACTACACATAGAAACATTTCTTATAGGATTTCTTTTTAAACATTTGAGCTATAACAATTCCTTTCTCTATGGGAAATATTTTAAACATCATAGAAATCATCTTAAAGACTTACCAATGGAGGATTAATCTATTTTCAATAGTTCAAAAATTATTATGTTTCTTTGTATATAAAAGTTTGTGAGAAAGAGAAATAAAGTGGGCAATAGATGTGAGATTCAAAGGGTTTTGCAAGAAAAACAATGGGAAAACATGAGTCAAAAAAAAAGTAGATATATTGAATTCCTTATGAACTAAAAGAGTAAAAAACCTTGTTCTTAAAGAGTAATAGTAACCCCATTTAATCCTAGGGTATTCATTGTATTATCTATTAGGTCGGTTTGCTTGTAATTGTTCCATTAGCCTATTGAGAGGCAATCCATTAATGCTATGTGTTTATATTGTCATATCTATTGTAAAAGGTTTGTATAAGACCTTTAAGACTATCAAATGGCATCAAGTCTTCAAGGTGTGAAGGTGGATGCATAGTATAAAGTTGGGATAGCACCTAAAACTATATCTGGGTGTGATTGGTGCCTATAAAGTCCAACTAGTTGTAAGGGTTTTATTGGGCACTCGGGAATACCAGGTGGTTAGTGAAAATTCTCAAGATGATGCATGAGGGGAAGATATATGCCGAGTTTGGTTGAGCCTATATAAAAATATTACATCTATTGTACTTTTTTTCTTATTCCTTTATTTCACCTCACACAAATGTTCTTTCAATCACAAGGGTCTCTGATTTTCTGTTATCCATAACATCAAATTTTGTTTCAAAACTTAAAAAAAGAGATTAGCTGGTTCAAAATATAGTAGAACCCAATTCACTCCACCTTAAGTTAGGTCACCTAGGCAATAGCCCACCCCATTGCCATTTCTCAACTCAATTGTATAGTTTTCTTTCTTTGTATGACCCAACTTTTTCAAGTTAGGTTTGGTTAGGTTACCCCATTTTTTTTACTTCACCTTGTTAAAAGTTCCAATTAGCCTTAAGAGTATGGGTTTTCATTGATTTTAGATATGGTTGGTAATATATGACACACCATGTAAACACGATATGGAGTTATTGTGTTTGGGTTTACATTAATCATGTTCGTGTAAAAAACGTGCCAATCCATTTAATACAATTAATAAACATATCGATTTTGGGTTGACCCACATAACTCAAAAATGACATGCTTATGACTCAAAGTTAAGTCTTATATCGTATATGTATATTTGGATGAAATACTATTATGGTAGGTAAGTATGACATTGAGACATCATTCATTTACTTTTATCTTATGGGGGTAAATTGGATAACTGGGTAATTGACCAATTTCTCGACATTTGAGTGTTGGTATAATGGGTCCCATGGAAAGATTATTGTGTGGAGAGCATCAGGTATTTGGAGAATTGATGCTCTCTTGGGAGGTGGGTAAGTTGCTTAACCACTCGTCAAAAACATTAAAATCTCCCGGTAAAGTCTTTACCTAAATAAGCATCGATGCAACTGAACATTGGTATCATAATTTGCCCATGTAAGCATATTACTTGGGTATCGAAAAATGAATGTGGCTTGAATGTTTTTTATTAATTTGTTTAGACTATGAAATATTAAATGTGCATTTTATTATTTAAATTTATCCATTATTTAATTTAAACATTTTTATCGTGTTTATTTGGTGTTAATTTAGGTTATACGTGCCATTAAGTAAATAATTAAATAGGTTGATCATATTAAGTTGGGCTATGTGGATCATGTCGTGTTACACATGTAATAAACATGTCATGTTCATGTTTGAGAACTAACACAATTAATTAATTGTTCATGTTCATGTCGATTTATATATCCGAATATTACTATCTCAACATGTCATGAACCTAAAACAAGAACATGAATTGCCACCCCTATTTTTTATATTATATGTAGAATGACAAAAATATGGTGTCCTAAAATAACATTTTTAAGTATGTAGTACTATAACTTTTTTAGCCTTTAAATGTAAAATTATAGATACATACAAATAAATGTGTTGAATTGATGAATGCATGATTGCATGTATGCATACATATTTATAATAACACTAATCTATACTATTATAAAGTGGATACTTGCTTGGGCTCTATGCAAGTCATGAAAGTTAAATTTGATAATAGAATATTAACTTATATTTTTATTCCTTACCCTTTACTTGCATATGTGCATAGCACTATGCCCTTACTCTAGTATATATAAAGCAGATACTATATACTTGGTTTGGGTTCCATAAATCCAATATGAAGTAAAAATTAGGTTCATATTTTTTCAACCCCAACCTAAGCTTCAACCTGACGTGTGTGTGGGTCTAAATATTGGCTAACCCAACACAAGTTGCACCCATACGTGCCTCTGAGGTTTATTTGGGTCTTAATTAGATCAGAATGGGAAAAATCAACCCAAAACCTATTATATTGGAAGGAACACAAAACAATGAAGGGTAAAAACCCTGTTAATTGAGTCAAATGAAGACATAAACCCTGTATAATATGGTTGTGGTTAGACTTGTTGGGTTGACATGGACATGGACTATTGGTTAGAACATTGTGGCATATCTCTAATATTGTACTTTTATCACATAAAACAAATTTAATAAGAATCATTTTTATTTATTAATGATTAATGTAAGAAAATGTATTGTGCATGTGTAAATAAGTATTAACCATATATGTATGGCATTTGGATCTAAGTTTTATAACCTCCATGGAACTAAGGGAAAATAATAGATGGATACCTGCTTTAAATAACAAATGAAAAGGATCATTAATATTTGTCGTATAACCTAATATGAGGTTAAATATATTGGTGGTCAAGTTACTAAGGCGGAATTGGAATCAAAATGATCTATTCCCCTCACCTGTTTGGTTCAACTTGGAATCGGAATCAAAATCATAATTGGCTGGAATGGATTTTTGGAAGGGGAGGGGAGGGAATGTCCATTCATTCAAATGGGGGAATATCATTCCATCAGGAATGGGAATAGCTTCGGATTCTGTCAAACCAAACAGTTGGAATTGGAATGATCCGATTCCAAACCCCTATTCATACAAACCCAAACGGACCCTAAACACTTGACTGAGTTGCTTTTAGAAGGCAAGTGGTTCAAAGCAAACTCGGATTCAGTCCTCACACTGTTCTCATAGCCACTTCAAACCGTGTATTGAGAATATCTCCACTTTTATGGGAAGATATTCCCAATGAATGAAAATCAGCCCTCCACAAAATTGTCCCCCACGACGTCCCAAATCACATTCCTGCAGTGTATTGGGAATATTTCCCAATGATAATATCAGAAATGATAATGTCATCATCGGGAGATGTTCCCAATACAGGACGGGGCTGTGCTGTGGGACGTTGTGGGGGGCTGATTTGAACTCCGTTTTCGGAGGACCGAATTCCATGTCTTTTGAAGCAAATCCGGAATCATGGCCCGATGACAGATCGGCCGGTCCGACCGCGTGTTGAAAACACTGATCAAACTTGCTTTAGCCTAAAAACAAGTGATACGTATTGCACTCTCCTCTTCATCTGGTCTACAGTCTACTGCTGCTTGCTCTTGGGGGTAGGGTTGCAGCATATAAAATACCACTCCATCTCTTCTTGCGCAGCCATAACCTGTGCACCCTTAACCTTATCCTGCGCACTTCTCATCCCTCTGCATCGAAGCAATGGGGTCTTCTCTTCCTCCCAAGGAGGCCAATCTCTTCAAGCTCATCGTCGTAAGTTCTTCCGCTCTTCATTCATTTTCTTAACTGGTTATCCACAGGCAACCCGTTAACGATTGTAGTTCTTTTTACGTTTATTCATTTCTTTATTTTTTTCTTCATGTTACTGCAATCTGTTCCAGTGTCATTCCCATTGAAAAAACCCTAGCCTCTGCCATGTTCTTCAGCCATACATTATTCTCAAAACTCTGATTCAATTGTTTTTTTTTTTTTTTTTCTTGTATTGTTTGCTTTACGCCCTCTAAGTGCTAAAATAACTACAAAATGTGATCGATTCTCACCGAGTTTCACCTTTGCGCTACGGAGCTTATTGTTTTGGATTATTACACTGGGTTAATTTCCCTATAGAGGCTTATGCATACTCACTGGAATTGGTTCAAACATGTTAATCCGGTCATCCATTCGTTGGCTCTGACTGAAAAAGAATTTTAGAAATTAATCGTACTATATTCTGGCTCGATGAGTGTTTCGTCTCTTTCAAAAGTACAAAGTTCAAGAATAGGTTTGATCTTTGTTTTTCTGTTGTAAATTAACAATCTATCTTTGCCTGGGAAGATAATTTTGAACTGCAAATCATTCCGTTCAGCTGGGTCATCTGGGTTTTGAAATTATTGATTAATCACCTTGTCACTTCTTTATCCTTACACAATGGATATTTTTGGCCCAATTTATGTCTACTGGTCCGTGAAACTTTATTTTGTTACGTGCAATCATTTGTCACTCTTCTGTCTCCACAATGTTGGAATTATTACTCATGTTTTTTTTATGGTAAAAACTCTGATGGTTGTTTGGTAGTTCAAGGTTAATCTGCTCAATCATTGCATCTCAGTGAGCACCCAAGAGTAAAAGAATTTTCTGTTTAAATGGTGCTTGCTCCAGCCCTTTCTTGTTACCTAGACTTGATAACAATTAACAACCCAAAGAAATAAAGTTGCCTTTTACAGTGGCTGCATTGCTCTTTTAGGATTGTTATAGTGTATATAGCTGTTTTAAAAAAGTTCAATATATTTCTTTTTGTACAGAAATGTATTCAAATTAATGTTATATAACATGCAACTGATCCACTTTTTAGTTGCTTCATTTAAAAATTATCTATCCTTACATTGCTTGTTTAGTTGAAAAATTTCTCAACACCTTTTATTGATCACAAGAAAGAGAAACATCTAATGCTGGAAAAATGAAATGCTTTTTTCTAGATTAATCAGTAATCACTTTTCAAAGCATTTCAGTACTCCTTTTTGATACACATTAGATATGCGCATATTTTAATGTTTCTCAAAATATATAGTTTAGTATGTTTTCTTTGTGGAGAAGGTATACAAATTGATCTAATAGTATTTGCAAATTGATCCGCTTTTAGTTTCTTGTTTAGTGGAATAACTTCTAAAGACCTTCATTGATCATGAGAGACATTTGACACTGTATAAAAAGCTCATTGCATTCTTCTAGACTAATTACTTTGAATCTTTCAAAGCATTTCAAAGGTTAGGACTGTATCCAGTCTACCCCTCCTAAAATCCCAGATAGCTGGGACCAACATTGGGTAACAGCCTAAATGCTTTATAATCTCTACAGTTTTTTGTTTTACATTTAGCTGGTATGTTATGAGTATGCTACATTTTCTACTCAAATGAAATGTGGATGTGTATGCTGTAATCCTCGAAAGGTTAGGGCAACATAGTAATTAGTAACATTGAGTGGATATAGTGAAGGGGAAATCTCTAAAATTACCCTCAAGTTTTAGGAAATGGACCAAAACTTCCCCTACCTTCGCAAAATCCCTTAAAGTACCCTTAAGTTTTCTAATAATTGACTAACTATACCTCTACCTTTAGTGTATCGTCACATCCTGTTCACATATAGCATATTATTGTCATAATATTTTAAAAACCCACATTTGCCCTCTGTTTCTTCTTCACCATCTCTGACCACTGAGAATAGAGATTTGAATGGGTTTTAAGTATTTTACAGGGGAACGCTGTGCAGTTCTGGGCTCCATTTTCTCGTAATTCAGAGGGACTTGTTTCCATTGTTACTATTATGAGAACCCCATCCGAGTATCTTGGTGTATAACAGAGACGTAGGACCCAGTGCACCCTCTTCCGCTCTTTATCAGAGTGACCATTTGGTTTGATTGACAGTTGGTGGGATGGGATGATACTGAGTATTTTTATCAATAAAGCTTTCATGGGAGTTGATGAGGTAGTTGATGGCCACTTAGGCCAATGCTAGTAAAACGACAACATTGACAAGTATGTGTTTAATCCATTTTAGAGGATAAAAGCCTTGAATGAGCTCTGAAAACTTTTTCATAGTTCCCACATTAGAAATGAATGGAAGGGCCTTTGTTCTGATATTTTCTTCTGGGCTGTGCTTAGCATCATCATCCCAACACTTATCGTCTTGTATGCAGGCACAAAATCCAATTTGAACTCCAATGGTCAAGTATGACAATAATAGATTTTTCATTTTGGTCATTCATCATGATTACAAAGAAGAAATTTTGGGAGCATCTTAAGGCTGATATCTTAAAAGTTCTCGAGAAGTTTCATAATTCTGCAGCCTTGGAAAGAAGCTTGAGTGCAACTTTCATTTCCTTGATTCCAAAGAAGAAAGGGGCTTCTGAGCTGAAGGACTTTAGACCAATAAGTCTGGTTGGGAGTATCTATAAAATCTTGGCCAAGATTTTAGCAACTTGGTTAAGGAAGGTGATAGATTCTTTGATATCAAAGTACCGAGGAGCTTTTGTTCATAACAAGCATATTCATGATGTGGCTCTCATAGCAAATGAGCTAGTTGATTCAAGAAAGAGAGTTGGGAGGAATGGTTTGGTCTGTAAAATAGATTTAGAAAAGGCATACGATCATGTTAATTGGTCTTTTCTGGATTATTTGATGGAAAGAACGCACTTCGGCTCAAAGTGGAGGAGCTGGATGAAATTTTGCATATCCACTCCAAGATTCTCTGTACTTGTTAATGGTGCAACTAGAGGCAATTTCAGAAGTTCGAGAGGTTTGAGACGAGGGGATCCCTTATCTCCTCTCCTATTTATATTAGTAATGGAAGGACTCAGCAGAATGGTGGACAAGGCTGTGGAGTTGAACCTGTTGGAAGGTTTTGAAGTCAGCCCAAATGGTACTTCCGTTCCAATCTTGCAGAGTTGCAGTATGCTGGTGACACACTGTTTTTCTGCAAGGCCTTGGAGGATCAAGTTCTTAATTTAAAGCACCTCATTTTTTTGGTTTGAAATTGTTTCTGGGTTAAAGGTGAACTTAGCAAAAAGTGAAATGATAGCAGTGGGGGAAGTGTCAAACATTCAGTATTTGGCTGAGCTATTGGGCTGCAAAGTAGGACTTCTACCCAGGGCTGCCTCTGGGTGCCAAGTGTACATCAAAAACCATTTGGAACCCAATTTTGGAGAGGATGGATCAAAACCTGGCCAAATGGAAGGCTATGTATCTTCCCAAAGGAGGGAAGGTAATTCTTATAAAGAGTGTCCTAGCCAGCCTGCCTACCTATTTTCTGTCTCTTTATCCAATCCCTTCGGAGGTGGTGAAGGAATTAGAAAAAAAGATGAGAGACTTTCTGTGGATGGGTTGGAAAGGCTCACATAAGTATCATCTAGTGAAGTGGGGGCAAATATGCAAACCCCACTCACAAGGGGGCTTGGGGATAAGAGATCTAAAATCCTTCAACTTAGCTTTATTAGGCAGCTGGCACTGGAGGTTTAAATGTTTAATGCAGAACTGGATAACCTTTGGAGGAAGGTAATAGCTGAGAAATTTGGGCTGGACAGTAATGGTTTGTAGTGTGGTCCCCCTCCTTCAACTTATAGCTGCAGCCTTTGGAAAGGAATTTGTAGAGCTAACACCAAGTTCAGACAGGGTATCGGGTTCAAAATAGGAGATGGCAGAAGGATCAGATTTTGGCTAGACCCTTGGACTGGGGAGAGGTCCCTTAAATAGTTGTTTCCTATTTTGTTCAACCTGGCAGCTGACAAAGAGGTGCTGGTAGCTGATTCTTTTGTTCAGAGGGGAGAAAACATTTGCTGGAACCCATCCTTCAGAAGGGACTTTAATGATTGGGAGATTCAACCGATAGGGGATCTTCTAGCTTTGCTTCATGATCAGACTCTGAACTTGCAAAGCCAGGATTTGAGAGTGTGGGTTGGGAGAAATCAGGAGTATTCTCAGTTAAATCCTTCTACAGATTTTTAGTAGGTGGAAATGGTACACGTTTTCCTAGCCGGGTCATTTGAGGGACAGTGGCACCCATGAAAGTTAAATTTTATGCTTGGATGGCAGTTTTAGAGAAATGCCTAACAAAAGAAATGCTGTTGAAGAAAGGTTATCCATGCAATGACTTGAACTGCAGCCTGTGCAGTGGCCAGTGGGGAGATGGAATCAGTTAATCATCTGTTTTGCATTGCAAGTTTGTAGGAGATATATGGAACTATTTTCAAAAGTGCTTAGAGGTCAGCTGGAGTATGCCTGCCTCAGTTAAAGAATGCTTGGAGGCTTGGCACATACCAGGATGACAAAGAAAGTGAAGTTGTGCTGGTCCTCTTTACCTCTGGCTATTTTGTGGGCAGTATGGACTGAAAGGAACAGTAGGACTTTTGATCACACAGCTTCTACTGTAGCTGGGGTCATAAACAAGACTGTTGAGCTGCTTAGGAGCTGGTTGTCTATACATACAGGTTTTAAAGAAGATACATCTGACTGTAATTTTTTGAAGGTGGCCTTATTTTGTGGTCCTTTTGCTTTTGTTTTGTACAGTTTCTCTTTGTACAAAGGACCATTGATTAATATAATTATACTTCACCTTTTCTCAAAAAAAAGCTCCATATTGCTTAGAAAAAGACTGGCATCCCCCACTCTTTGGCAGCAAAGCCTCTCAGCTGCACTGCCTCATTCTTCCTCCTCCACGCCTCCGCCTCTCCACTGTTTATGGGCTTTATGACTGCAATTTTTTGCTCTGCTAATATGTGTTAATGATATGAGCTTAAAAACATCCTGTGAGTGGGAATAAAAAGTTTCAAAATGTTGTTTATTCAAATATTACTATTTTGAAAATTTAAAGAAGAATGAAAGGTCAACTAGTCTTTTCCATCTTTCCTTAATGGTTAACGGCAATTGTCAATTGTCAGAAAACTTAGGGATACTTTAAGGGATTTTTAAACAGTAGGTAGGCAATTTCCTAAAACTTAGGGCAACGATAAAAAAAATCTTAAAACATAGGGGTAGTTTAAGAGATTTCCCCTATAATGAAACTTTGAATTATCCACAGCCACATCAGAGTTGTTCTTGGGCATCAATGTGCATCTCTGATTTTCTTTGTTTTTCATTAGTAACATCAGGTGCTGTTTTTGTTGATACAGAAGTTCTGAAACTCTTTCTAACCCATTGCTAGGACATGAAATACATCTAGAATGCTCTGAAACTCTTATCTCTTTCATTAAAAAAAGTTAAGTTTGGTTCTTTTGAAGAGAATAAATGTAAACAATAGATGGTTGTTTTTTTTTTTGATCAATAAATAATAAATGGTTGTTTATCTACTAAAATCCTTGTTTTTATCTTAATCTAAAAAGGGAAGATGTATTACGTCTGTTTGCTAAATCCGGATTTATTTTTTCATTTAGACAAGTATCAATATCTGTTGGAACATCCTTCTTATATATTCTAATCATTTCAGAAATCATATGAAACTAAACAATACAAAAAGGGACTAAAAGCTGCAGATGCTATATTAAAAAAGTTTCCAGATCATGGAGGTATGTAGTCTTAGTAAGATTCTTGCATTCTATATGTCTTTATTATTTTTTTTGAGAAAAGGTAAAGTAATATTTATTAATCTAAAAAAAACCTGTACAACAAGAGGCTGTATATAGGGTGCTTAACTGCTCCTGCAGTGCTAACTTAATAAACCATTATTGTTTACAAAAGATTTTCATATACAAAATATGTACTATGATTCCTGCCCTTGAATAGCTTATGACCGCATTTGGGGCAACTTCTCCTACGGGCTTTTTGTGCATTTTGCATTTAAGAAGCCAAAAGCCTGATTGAAACCGTTTGACATATATTTGGTCTGGCTTCTCCTTATGGATAATTCGATGCTTCTTTTGTGGATAAGCACAAGCTGTTTTTTTATTGGCTTCTTGCTTCTGCCTTTTGCATTTAAAGTGGGGGCTACATTTTAAAACTTTAAGATTCCCTTTTAAATGCCATTAATGCCCTCAAACTTATGTTTTAAATGACTATTAACACCTTGAAAATTTTTAAATGTCTAAATTAACACCCCGACTATTTATTAGTACTTCAAAATGACTAACATGCCCCCAATACTTCCAAAACCCAGATTCATCCGCTTCTTCGACTTGTGCCTATCCAGAAGCACTGCTTATGGATAATTTTTAAGCTATTGGTTAAGCGCTCCCAAGCACAGGCTATGTGTGGCAGCCATGAACACATTCTACCCACTATCAGCTGAAAGACGGTGTTCACTGAAGATTCCTTGACCTTGAATATCCTTTAATTTCTTTCCTGCTGCAGACGCCAAAAGGCAGCTGCTGGAATCATATTCCATTCTCCCCTTCTTACTCAAGCCTCCAGCCTCCCACGAACTCCACCAAAGATTGTGGGCAGCAGCTGCAGCACCCCTTCACAGCAAATATACTCAATATCTTCACCCAAATGGCATGAGACAAGCTGCAGTTCAGCAAAAGGTGATTCGCAGATTCAGCATTCCTCTCACAAAGCACACATTCCTTATAGGTTATCTCTAGTAAGCATTTTCTATTCAAGCAGGCAGTCCACACAAAAAATGCCACCTTAGAATGGGTTGTTCTTGCACCATATGGTATTAACAGGGACCTCCTGTTGGGGCCAAATGATTGGAGAAAGACTTAACTGAGAATTTGCCTGGCTCTCCCACAACCATACCTTGCAATCTGTTGCATTGGGATTCACCTGAGTCCCATATAGCCCTTGCAATCCACCATGGGTCCAACTTCCCAATCATTTAAATTTCTTCTTAATTCAGGCATCCGCATCATGTTTCCATTTTGGTTTTGAAAGCAACCAGCCACACTTACCTCCTTATCCACTGCCAGCTCAAACAGATTTTGGAAAGCCTCTATTAGTGGTCTGTCTCCACATCACATATCCCTCCAAAATTTCAGTCTTTTCATCTCCTACCTTGAATCTCACACCTTTAATGAACTGGCTGTATACTTTCTCAATCCCCTTCTACACTGGGCAAACATGAGGCTGACTGGACATCCCTGGGTCACAATCCAAGCTTCTTAATCCATATTTAGCTTGTGTTTACCCATCTCCAAATAGCAGGGCATAGTTTATATCCTTTACTCCTTTTCACTCCTGACCCACCAAATTTCTTTGGTCTGCACACCTTACTCCAATTAACCAAATGATGTTTCTTCTCATCTTTCCAACCCCTACAGAAAAATTCTCTTGTTTTCTTTTCAATGGTAGCTGCCATACCAGAGATGGTATAGGGTACAATAACAAATACATAGGTATAGAAACCAATACACTCTTCAACAAAGTAAGCGTACCTCTGTTTGACAGGTATTTTTTTTTTGTAAGGTATAAAAAGTAATTGTATTAAGTATAAAATATATGGGAGGGCATGCAGCCTTCAAGGGTTATACTGACTGCCGAGTGTGCTTGTATATATTCACATCACATATACATTCAGCTCTTGTACATAAAATTAAAACAATATGGCTGACCAATGATCTGAAAAATGGCTAGAGTGTCTTCTGGTGTAATAATGGCACAGAAGAAAAGAGTGTCATCTGCATACTGTAATTGTGGCACTTCCACCACCCCACCATTTTCCATAGAAAATCCTTTGATCATCCCCCAGAAACAGTCCTCAGCACCATCTTATCGAGAGATTCCATGACACAAATAAATAGGAAGGGGAACAAGGAATCCCCTTGCCTTAATCCCTTGGAGCTTTTAAATTCACCAACATTGAGAAGAGGGGTGGATATGCATACTTTGACCCAATTCCTCCATTTCTACTAAAGTTCACCCTTTCTGAAATATAATCCAAGAACCACCAGTTTACAGATATTCCTCACATCTCTTTGACATCTGTCTCCATTTGATCTCCTCTTGATGTGCAATTCTATCGTAGACTTGTAGTCCAATTTAGCCTTTGCCTTCTATTGCCCACCCTCTTTTGATATATGCCCCTTATCTTCCAATTTGTCCAACTCCTTAATGATGTCTAGCAAGGCAACTAGAGAAACTTATGAGGGATTTCCTTTGGAAGCCAATAGATGAGAGGAGGAGGGTCCACTTGGTGAAGTGGGAATAGATTAGCAAACCTAAGGAGCAGGGAGGGCTTGGGATAGGGAACCTAACTCATAGGAACACACTCTCTTAGGTAAATGACTTTGAAGGTTTCGATTGGAAAGGAACAGGCTGTGGAATGCGAAGGTAGCTCCCCTCTCAATTTCAACTTCTCGTTGAAAATCAATACAAGAGGTATATCTGACTTTCGTTAATTTCACCTAGTTTGATGTGGGCTGTGAGGATAGACTGATAGTCTTTTTTTTGGGAAGATTTTTGGTTAGTTGAGATTCCTCTCAAATTTCAATACCCTGTGCTTTACTTCATGTCAAATCACAATTCTTCAGCCTATCTCTAGGTTTAGGACTTTTTCTCCTTCTGGGATAAATTGAGATTTGGATTTAGAAGGGGTCTGAGAGGTAATGAATGGGTTCCTTATTCAATTGTTGGCTAAGCTTGAATTGGTTTTTCTGGTGTGGTTTGTAGAATGTAGAGGAAACTAGAATTTGGTCAATTTCTCCTGATGGCATATTCACTTTGTTTCTTTCTTCAATGCCCTCACATAGTTCAATCCCTTGGGGTAGAACTTCCCTATAAAAGAGATTTGGAGCGAGCCCTTCCTACTTAAAGTTCAAGCTCTATGTTGGGAAGTATTCCTTGGAAAGATAAAATACCTGTGACATGCTTCAAAAAAGGAAGCCTAAGAAAAGGCCTTTCTCCTCATGTGCGTTTCCTTTGTAATGCAAGTGGTGAAACCTTATCCTATTTACCAATCTCCCACCCTTATGCGCTTTGTGTTTGGGAGTACTTCTGTTCTTTATTTGGTTGCAAGTGGGTTCCCCCTCAAGATGTAATGAGTCTCTTCAATCCAAGTTTCTTAAAGCAGCCAAGGAAAAGAGGGAGAATTATCTGGAAAGCAATCAGGGTAGCAGTGGTATGGATTATATGGGAGGAAAGAAACGGGAGAATTTTCAATTAGAAAAGCAGGTCAAAGGAGGAGATCTTTGAGATTATAAAGATTAAAGTTGCACACTAGATAAAGACAATGGAGATTTTGCAAACCATATCGGTAAATGATGTAATAAGAACATAGACTGAAATGGCACAATCTTCTAAGGCTGTGTTTGGTTTGAAGGAAAAGGTAGGGAAAGAAAGGGAAAGGCAGGGAAACCTATAATTGTACAGGTTTCCCTTCCTTTCCCTACATTTTCCGTCAAACCAAACACAGTTTAAAGAAAAGGATAGGGTGGTCATGGAATAGAAACCCCCAGCTGGTAACAACATAAAACTAAACCTTGATGGGAGTTCCATGGGCAATTCAGGACTGGCAGGTATAGGAGGCGTGTTCGAAGATTCATCAGGCAGGTTGATGACTTTGTATTTTGGACCTATAGGGGTTGGAGACTCACTGAAAGCTGAGCTGTTGTCTTTGCTGCAAGGTTTGAGATTTGCAAAACAATCAAACTTCTAGCAATTGGAATTGGAAGGGTACTCGAAACTGGTTATTTCTTGGACAGGAATTAGGCAATTAGCTGTCAATTACCTTGGATTTACAGGCATGTGTTTAGGGAGATAGAAAGCCTCTCTAAGGATTTAAACACCACTTTTAATTGGGTGAGAAGGACCACAAATGGGGTGGCAGATGCTCTAGCAAAACAGGGGGTTTTATAGAGAACAACTGTTTTGGGCTGTAATGTAACTCTTTTTGTAATATTGGGCATTGGCATATTCTTCATTCTACTATTTGGTGGTTGGAATTCTAAACTGTTGTGCTAAACTTTATTTACAAATCAATAAAATTTCTTTGTTGATAAAAAAAGCACTCCACTGAAGACCTCTCTTCTCATAACTTTTTTTTTTTTTTTTTTTTTTCTTTTAACCCCTTCAACTTCTTACATCTTCTTTAAAGGCAATTCAAGTTATACAGTCATTGTTTTTTATGTGAGGATTAAGAATTTAAGACCCTATCATGGACTTGTTTGGGCTTGCCTCAAGGGGCGTGGTACAAAGGCGGCTCGTAGAATCAGGAATGCAATATGTTTTACATCACTTCAGCTACTTCAAGTAATGCAATTGAAGAAAAAAGAGATTGTGGGTTTTAGATGCTTGAAAATGCTTTATATGTTTGATTTTATTTTTAATTTTCATTTGAATACTCTTTACATGTTATGTTTATGTATTTTA